AAGCTAGGCTCCTCTCTCCTGGTCTCCGTTCTCCTCTCTGCAGCTACCCCATTCCCTGCCTCCCAAAACTACATGCAAAGCCTAGTCAGACAGGCAACAATTTGCTGATGAGGCAACAGAGACTGCATCACCAAACATGTAATCCTCTACAGTACAAAGAGTACTACGAACACATATCTGTTTCAATTCACCAATTGAGGGCCTGGGCCTAAATACATTAAACACTTCATCACTAATGTAACACTTCTATAATTTGGGGAAAGAATACTTTACTGCAGAGGGCATATTTCCCTAAGGTTTGCAAGGCATCTAATTTTTCTTGGTATTATTCCATGATATTTGTCTTGAGTGCAAGAAGTTTGCTTTCTTAAAGATAAATCGCCTTAAGCTACAAATATTCCCACTCTTTCTAAATTTTTTTGATCATAGCCATGCCAAGAATACTCGGAAATCAAAATCTAGAGGTAAAAAAGAGTCTTAAGAGATCATCTACTTCCATTTTAGGCAGGTTTCTAACAAACTATTTTAGAAAGTTGGTTATTTAGCTGTTACTAATGTTAACTGGACAGACTTCACATTCTCCCTTGACAGCCTATTTCTAGTGTTTCATCATCTTTGCTGTGTCTAATCAAAGTTTCTCCTGTTTCAAATTAAGTCAATTTCCTCTTGTTTTACTCTTTAAAAAGATTTGGGACAAGCAAATAACACCCTGCGTCGTGATCAGTAATAGAGTCTGAGCTCAAAGAACTAAAGAATGGCAGCTACGTCCCAAGTGGACCTGAGAAGCTGTCTTTTTACTGATGCATTAAAATGCCCCACTCCTCAAATTTCTTCCAAATGAGGCCCAGCAAACCAGGAGTATAACTTTGGTCTGAGGTTAGTCTGGTTTGGTCTGATAAATTGAGTCCAAATCCAAATTAGTCACCACAGATTCAGAACATGGGTAATTTAATACATGGGGCACTTCTACACTAGCAAAGGTAGCTTCCTATTTCTCTACACTGTCCTAATCAACACCTTTCAGTAAATTGACCCATTCTGTTAACTTCCCTGACATGAAGTCTTAAAGTGCCAAATTCAGCCATTTTTCAGGACAATCTTAAAGTAAACTACAAATAGAAATATGTCTGGCCAAAATATATATATATTCCAAATAACTTTCCAGAGTTTAAATTCAAACTGTGAACAGATTATCTTCCCATATCGTTTTAAAAGTTGAACAGAAAATAACATAAATAATTAACTGTACTAAGGAAAGGAAACGTTGATCCAGATATTTAATCTATATATAAACTTCACAACTTGGTGTGAATTTTGGTTTAGTTTGAACAAAACATATTGAGTGACCATCATGTGGCAGATGCTCATATATATTTTCTCTAACTTCTTTAATCCTCAGAAGTGTCACTGTAAACTAAATCTTCAAAAAGTTAAATAAATTGCCTGAGATTATTCAGCAGGTGAGAGAACTAGAATCAGTTGTATTCTAAATGCAATACTCTATTGGATCAAGTTGCCACTTCATAGAGGCCAAAAGTTTAATCTAAGATCAGAATCCCTACTCAACTGACAAGGGAAGAAAAATGTTTTGGGAAGAAGCTGCCCCTGGTGGTGCAGTTTCCTATTACCAAGATAAAATTGAGCCAGGGCCTTGAATCCTACAGGTGTATAATAGCAGAAAGGTAAAAAAACATTCTTCTAGCAGAACATGGGATGTTTCCAGAGTCTGGTGCCCACCTATCAGCTGTATTGGACTACTTCCTTCTCTTCTAAGAACCTCAGCTATGACTATGACTCAGTTGAGTAGCACAGCATAGGACTTCCAGATCACATGAATAATTCACATGTGAATATCTTTAAATATTCTCAGTTTAACAACTCTAGTATTTCTGAGTATCTTTTTAGACTTAAGTTTTACAAAGTATGAAATGAAACAATCTAAAATTACTTGGCACCACATCAAATACTTACTTTGTAAGTCCAGTGTAGAGAGGTATAGAGAGATTAGGTGAACTTTCAGATTACTTGTTCAAATTTGTTTTATACTAACTCACATGATCAGACAGCATCTTAGGGAACCAGACAGAGCTAGCTGACGTATCACCAGTTTCATTTTGCTGATTCTTCTTGGAAGTCCTCTTATTCACAAGACTTTTTATGAATGTAATAATCTAAAATAATTTTCTTTGTGATTTTATATTTTAACTCTGACCAGGATTTATAAGTTCTTGCAAGGAGGGTAGGATCAACGAAGTAAAATGAAGACTAAAAATATTCATTGGATTTAGAAAAATGAAGGTCAAGGTGACTTTCGTAAGCACCACTTCAATGCAGTAATGGAGGCAGAAGCAAGAATTGGTAGAAAGGAGAAAGGGGAATGTAGAAAGGAGGATGGGAAAGTGAAGAAGTGAAGGAAGTAATATGTAGACATTTTTTTCAAAATGTTGATTCTAGAGAGAAAGAGAGAGCTAGGACAGAAGACACAGGGTGGGGATAACTCCTGATAACTCCTGTTTAAAATGAGAGGCTTGAGCCCAGAGCTTAGAAATAATTGGGAATGAAAATTTTATCTTATGACAAATAAATTCACATTTTACAATAAATATTTTTATAAGACTAAGCTGGCCTTTTGGAACTATCACTAGCCTGTATTCTAAACCAAACATACCTAATACATAAATCTAAACATATTTTTACCTTCCATCTACTTTTTCTCAAAAGAAGGTAATTTTAAAAGTATGATAAAAGCAATTCATAACAGACTGACATCTCTCTCTTTTCCTCATTGCTTAAGGTAAGATAATCAGATATAGAACTTTAAGAAGTTTCTTACTCTTATACTATATACTTTATATACAACAATGACATTAGTGACCTAGAAAATAGTACATGAGTCATGATATTGTTCATAAACCCTGTGATCAGTGGCTTATATGTATGAAACATCTTGGTGAAGCAATGATTTAATACATAAAGCTTCCCTATTTTAATTTAGATATCAAAGCTAAAATGTCAAGATTTAGTTTTAAGCCAATAATGGTTTAAAGATTTAGTTTTAAACCAGTAATGATATATTTTGTCAAATCCAAAAAAACAGATGAAATCAAATAAGATGAATTTCTAAAATAAAATGCATGAAATGGACCAGAAAGTACCTGGTGGTAATTTGACTTTGTAATGAAATCACTAGCAGAAATGCCAACTTAGGGGATTTCAAGGAAGGTGTTAATTGATTCTTTAAACTGCTATTCTGATCCTTTTAAAACACTTAAGTAAAACTTTGAAAAACTACTGTATAGGCTATATTCAAGAAATTTTTTACAGGATGAGCCAAAATAAACAGTGTAAATCCAGTCCAAAGAAGGAAGTAGGTTGTGCATGTGTGTATGCCATAGGTGAGAAAAATATTCAAAGTAATCCAGCATCTAGCACATCCCAGGTACAAGGGTCAAGTCCAGGCAGAAGGGCAGCACAATGTCTGAAGAAAAGTCTGCACAGTGAGCAAGTTTCTAATCCAGGGCTCAGATTATCCCTCTGATCGAATTCTTACAGTTACATATACTTTAAAAACTTCTAAAGTCATGGATAACATTAAAATTTGGGGGTGTTTCATCATTCCAAAGCAACTTATAAAACAAATCTATGTCTACAACAAAAATTATCAAAGAATTGAAAAAATAGTTGATATAAGATTTGATTTATTAAAAAAATGTAATGGCCAAACTGCAAAGTTGACTGTGTTGAGTTTTGGCAAAACTGTCATCAAACTCCCTGCTTCTCTGCAATAATTTTTCTGAAAAACAAGTGATTCTGAGATGGCATTTAGACCAGACCTAAAACTCTGAATATGTATAAAACCTCTTTAAGTAAGGAGCCTATACTTAAAAGTTGAAAGCCAAAGGTCTTAATAATGTTTAAACAGTGAATTTAGTGGGCAGAAGACCTAAACAGACATTTCTCCAAAGAAGACATACAGATAGTCAACAGGCCATAAAAAGCTGCTCAACATCACTAATTATTAGAGAAATGCAAATCAAAACTACAATGAGGTACCACCTCACACCAGTCAGAATGGCCATCATTAAAAAGTCTACAAGTAACAAATGCTGGAGATGGTGTCGAGAAAAGGGAACCCTCCCACACTGTTGGTGGGAATGTAAGCTGGTGCAGCCACATGGGAAACAGTATGGAGGTTCCACAAAAAACTAAAAATAGAGTTGCCATTATGATCAAGCCATCCCACTCCTGGGCATATAACTGGACAAAACTATAATTCAAAAAGATACATGCATCCCTATGTCCATAGCAGCACCATTCACAATAGCCAAGACATGGAAACAACCTAAATGTCCATTGACAGATGAATGGATAAAGAAGATGTGGTACATATATACACTGGAATACTACTCAGCCATAAAAAAGAATGTAATAATGTCCTTTGCAGCAACATGGGTGGACCCAGAGTTTATCATACTAAATGAGGTAAATCAGAAAAAGAAACACAAACACCATATGATATCACTTTTTTGTGGAATCTAAAATAGGACACAAATGAACTTATCTACAAAACAGAAATAGACTCACATACATAGAGAATAGACTTGTGGTTGCCAAGGGGGTTAGAGAGGGATGGAGTGGGAGTTTGGGGTTAGCAGATGCAAACTAGTATACATGGAATGGATAAACAACAAGGTCCTACTGTATAGCACAGGGAACTATATTCAATATCCTGTGATAAACCATAATGAAAAAAATATTAAAAAGAATGTATGTATATGTACAACTGAATCACTTTGCTTACAGCAGAAATTAACACAACATTGTAAGTCAACTATACTTCAATTGAAAAGTGAATTTAGTATCATTGCATCTTCTGAACTTTACCAAAATTCAAATTCAATGCGTACATTGAATGCAAAGCTCTAAACAGGTGTACAATGTCTCTTTCGCCTCACAAAATAAAGACTATTATACATTGTGTAGGAAGAAAAATTACTTACCGCTATAATATCTAATGTATTATCGCAGACTTTTCGGATTTCATTATTTTTATCATGCATCAGATCTATGAGGTATGCTGGAGCCTCTAAATAAAAAGTGGTTAAAGAAACAAACTGTGTTTGAGATTGCAGCTATTCAATCATGTTAGAGAATCCTGCATTTCTCTAAATTCAAATGTTAATCTGAAATTTAACTTCAAATTTTAAAATAAAATCATTACTACAAGATGACCAAAAATATTTAATATTTCATTTATTTAAAAAACATGGATAATAGGGATAAGAAAGGGGGGGGAAAGAACTAGATAAAAATGGGTAAGGAAAACAGAGCCAGTAAATCTCAGAACATCCAAGGCCATATTTTTGAAACCATGAAACTTGTGAAAGTAACTAAAGAAGGAGCTCTATAGCTGCATAGTTGTAAAACTTTGATTGACCTGACCCTCCTAAAAGTTCAGAAAAATTAATTTCACACAAAAATTCACATACAAAAAATTTCCCACAACAACAGAAAAGAATCATAGTCAAATCCCATATATGGGTATGGTTATTATAAGGAAGAGAAAACATAAGACATTTTCACATAAAAGCTGAAAGCTGCAACGCTAATATTTCAAAAAGAAATAAAAGAGTTTAAGAAATCAATAGGTATATATGAAAGAGCAATATGAATCAGAATTAGAAAATTCAGAGAAACAATTCCAGAAATAACTAAAAATAAACATAAAAATCATTTCAAATATATAAAAACTAAGTTTATAGTAATACAAGAGTAAATAAAAGCAACAGATAAAACTCTAAGTTAAACAGAAGGTAAAAAAAGAAGAAAATTTGTAAAATTTTAAAAACTGAAAAGAAAGTAAAAAGATTAGAAAATGACAGATACTAAAGATAGGCAAAGAAGATCCAACATAATATTGACAGATATTCTAAAGAAGACAACCAAAGCAACAGAACTAATACTATAAACTACAACTCAAGAAAATTTGCCTAAAATTAAAAAAAAAAAGACAAAACTATATACTGAAAGACTATATTTGCATACTTGGAAAAATCAAGCAAGGATGATGAACACCAAGTCAAATTCTAATAAAACTACTTGGCTTTAAAAAAACCCAGAAACATACTTTGGTCTTCCTGGCAAAAAGATCGAGTCACTTATAAGGGGAAAAAAAGTAAATTGTCATCAGACTTTATGACAGATAATTAGTAGACTACAGACTTCTCATTGGCAGCAATTCAAGGTGGAAAAATACCTTCAAATTGCTGAGGAAAATAACTGGAAATCTAGAATTCCATATTCTGCTAAATTATTATTAAAGAGGACAAACGAGTTATTTTCAGATACAGATATATTTATTATTCATAGATGTTCACTAAGCAGTATAAGAGAATGTAATCAATTATGAAAGAAAATCAATGCAGAAATATAGAGGAACTGAATTCAAGAAAAAACAGTAAATGAGGAAACATACTATATTATTTAACATAGTATAAATCCTAAATAAGCACTGGTTTTTAAAAAGCGATAATCAAAATAATAATTTTTAAATGTTATAAAAATTTTATGTTATAAAAATGAGGTGAAATTACAATACTAGAGAGCAACAAATAACATGGACGATGGAAGTGGAGACATTAGACTTACAAGTAGAAGAACAGATATATTCATTTAGAACTTGGTGAGAATGCACGTTGAACTTTAAGACTAACACAAAAGAAAAGAAATGGAATGTATAAATAACAAGTAGGGGAAAAGGGAAGAATAAAGAAAACTCAAATCAATAAAGAAACCTCAATGGATCTGAAACAGGCAGTGAAGAAAGAAAGCTATAATCTCCAATACTTAAAGTTGTTCTTGGTTAAAACTATTTGAAACAAAGGCCACAAGTTTCTAACAAGAAACTCTAGCACATGTGTACAAGCAAATGACATTTTTTGAGGCAATGATTATAATGCCAAAAAAATTTTATCAAGTTTCATAGCAAGTGGCAAAGACAGAGGTTAACCCAGATCTTCTATTCATCAGTGCTACTTACTATTTTGGGGGGGAATAAAAAGGATATATTTAAAATGTAGAAAAATATACAGAAAAATATATCTGTGTACATTCAAATTCATTTTTAGAAAAATCTGTAAAGAAAATGGTGTTTATTGCCTCTTTTCTCTACTGTAATGTAAGTTCCATTAGGGTAGGGACTTGGTCTATTTTGTTCACTATGGTATCCCCAGCTCTGAGAATATAACAGGTGCTCAATAAACTTTTATTTAATAAATAAATAAGACCTACTCTACATACTACCCATGGATTTTGTGAGGATAAGATGAAAATAAAATTCTTAGGAAACTTTGGAATTCTCGGGGAATCTAAAAGGATCTAGCCTAATTTGGTTTATTTTTCATGCTGAAACTGTTGGGATTATATGAAAATTAATTATTATTATAGCACTGGTTCTCAATTCCCAATTCCTATGAGTTGTGCTGAGAGCCATTTTTAATATTTCAAACATCTTAATATAACTCATATATTTACCTAAAATAAGTCTACACCAACCATTTCAAAATGTCAAGTTTCTTTCATTCCATCAAAAATTTTATCAAATAATGTTGATCAGATTTTCTAACTTAAAAAATTGGAGGGCTTCTCTGGTGGCGCAGTGGTTGAGAGTCCGCCTGTCGATGCAGGGGACACGGGCTCGTGCCCCGGTCCGGGAGGATCCCACATGCCGCGGAGCGGCTGGGCCCGTGAGCCATGGCCGCTGAGCCAGCGCGTCTGGAGACTGTGCTCCGCAACGGGAGAGGCCACGGTGGTGAGAGGCCCGTGTACCGCAAAAAAAAAAAAAAAAAAAAGATAAGATGAAAATAAAATTCTTAGGAAACTCTTAGGAATTCTCAGGGGGAATCTAAAAGGATCTAGTCTAATTTGGGTTGTTTTATTTTTCATGCTGAAACTGTTAGGATTATATGAAAATTAATTATTATTATAGCACTGGTTCTCAATTCCTATGAGTTGTGCTGAGAGCCATTTTTATTATTTCAAACATCTTAATATAAATCATATATTTACCTAAAATAAGTCTACACCAACCATTTCAAAATGTCAAGTTTCTTTCATTCCGTTAAAAATTTTATCAAATAATGTTGATCAGATTTTCTAACTTAAAAAATTGGAAAAAGCAATGATTTCCTGACTAATAAATTTTATTTAAAATATTTAAGGGCTTCCCTGGTGGCTCAGTGGTTAAGAATCTTCCTGTCGATGCAGGGGACACGGCTTCGAGCCCTGGTCCGGGAAGATCCCACATGCCGTGGAGCAACTAAGCCCGTGCGCCACAACTACTGAGCCTGTGCTCTGGAGCCTGTGAGCCACAACTGCTGAGCCCACGTGCCACAACTACTGAAGCCCACGTGCCTAGAGCCTGTGCTTTACAACAAGAGAGGCCACCGGAATGAGAAGTCTGCGCACTGCAATGAAGAGTAGCCCTTGCTTGCTGCAACTAGAGAAAGCGGCATGCAGCAACAAAGACCCAACGCAGCCAAAAATAAATAATACAATAAATAAATAAATTTATAAAATATTTAAGTATATTGGTTTCATAGAGAAAAATTACAGTAAAATGCTTAAAATTATGGTGAAACATTTAAATAATGATTTTAAACTATGTTACAAAATATGAGACATACTCAAATATCATTGACATCAACAAAAATCCTGTTTTTTGAAAACCAAAATATTGGGCTGAAGCCCTTCAGCAATCTTTATCCAATCTTAAGACATGGACTAAAGCATCAGATCTAATATTCCTTGATGCTTTTGTAAAAATTTTAATTCAGCAGATCTTTTATCTCCCACTCCCACCATTATCAACATGTTATATTCTTCAGAATAACTATTTAAAAAGTATTGACTTTAGATTCAATGGCTTAACAAAAATCGCACTTGGGAGAAAATGAAAAGAAAGTTACACTGAGAAGAAAAAGTCAAATACAAGTAGCCTTAATAGTGTGAGCTTTGGTAATAAGGTAGTGAGAGTACATTTAAAACAGACAGACCAGAACAGAGGTAACATTTATTCACTGTGTGTCAGGCACTTGGTACATACTTTAAATGCTTCATTCTTCTTTAGTCCTAAGGAAGAAACACTATGAGATGACACATAAACAAGGGGCTGTCTTCCAAAGAAGTTACCTAGAAAAAGCTATACTTTCACTTTAATGTTTTCTAATATGTGTTTCTTACAGTGACTTCTGCAGTTATATAAATCTTCTCTACATAAAATATTCTTTTAGAGATTCTCAACCCAGAAAAGCATATTAAAGGCTCCAAGAAGACCCTGCAGCAATAATATGTTTAACTTTAACTCAGTGTTTCCCAAACTCATTTATCACAGAACCTTTTTTCATTAAGCAACTATTAATTCTAAAGGAATGCATTCCATGGAACACAGCTGAAAAGTTATTCCAACAATGTTAACATTGCTCAAAAGTGTATTTCGAATTTATCTTTCTGGGAGAGTTAGTTTATAAGCCACATTTTAAAAATATTTATTACTTTATGATAAAAAGAGTTCTCTCTAGTGATGCTGTTACAGCAAAATAGTATTTGCATTTTGACAGCCCTTAGCAAAATGAACATTTCTCAATTAAACTTGCTTTAATCAGACTTGACTCTTGGAGACCTTATATGGTTCCAGAAATTCAACTTGTCCTCAAAAGCAAGGCAATGTTAATACTTAAAGCATGTGTTATTGGCTCTGAACACCAGAGGAGCCTCAAAATGTTTTGAGCAATAGCCTAGTGTATAAAAAAGTATCCCAATTAAATTTTAAATTTTGAAAGAGCTTTAACCATTTAGACACATGAATTCATTGACTAAACAAGTTCTAACCACATGGCAGGTACTATGTTAAGTTTTGGGTATGGATAAAAGGAAGACAAAGCCAGTCCTTGAGCTAGAGGAGCTCAAAATCTTTTGGTAGAGACAGGCATATAAATACATAATTTAAAGTACTTTATTAGAGGTGAAAAATAAAGAAATTACTCCCAATGGTAAGAAGGTAGGCACAGGATTAGAAAGGCTTAACTGAGAAGATGGCTTATAAACGTATCTTTGATGAACTGGAGACTGTCAGGTTAAAAAAAAGGAGAAAAATGCATCTGAGTTTGACAAGGCATACGAAGAGGGAATAAGTTATGACAGCGAGGGTAATGTCTGATAAATGATGAGAAATTTGGTATGCTAAGAGAAACTGTGTATTATAAGGTTAAGGGGAAACTCTGGAAAAATAGGTTAAGGTCAGGTTATGAAGAGCTATATGCAAAAAAAATTTAGATTTTTCATATGGGTAATGAACGATTTTATGCAGTATTTGAAAGCAGGTTTTTTTTTTTTTTTTGTACACAAATGAGCAGACCACCACAATTGAAAAAAAAACAAAAATCACAAAGATTCAGCTTAGATACCACATCCACTGCTAGCCTTTCATGACATTCCCAGACTTGGTTTATATATATCCTCTCCTGTGCCTGATGTACATACCTTTATGACATTGATTATACTGGATTTTAATTTTATATTGATTTACTTATGTAGCCTTCCAATTAGACTATAAACTCCTTGAGTACAGGGACTGACACTTCTATATGTCTAGCACTTAAAACAGTACCTGTTAGATGGTCAGAACTTGATAAATGTTTGCAAAATAAATGAATGATTATATATAGTAAAAGAGACAGCAGACACAACATTTTCAACTAAGGGACTGGATGGATGACACTTATTATTGACCATGAATACAGAAGGTAGACTTTTTGAGAGGGAGATGTTAGCAATATTGAATACCCTTTTGGATGCAATAGTGATAAAATACCAATTTCTGAGTACCTCTCTGTGTTGGGAACTATTATAGATGATTTAAATCCACTAGTACTGACAGCTATCCTATAGGAGGTCTTTTTATTTTAATAATAGGAGGTCTTTTTATTTTAATAATATTATGGCCATTTTATAGATGTAAGATGCTCAAGGAGATTAAGTAACTTATCCAATGTCCTGTAGCTAGTAAGTGCATTTAAAATTAGGGCTATTTAATTATATTATATTATTTAATGATAATGCTTTATAGGCCATACTATGCCCCCTCAGGTAGGTGGAAGACATCCAGGTGGCAGTTAGCAACAAATGCCTGGGACTCAAGAAAGAGGTTTCGAAGATATCAAATACTTATTAGCACATAAGTAGCATAGGAGCTGAAGTCATGGGAACAGTAGATGTGTTTTCCCATGTATAGTGAATAAGGTAAGATTAAAAGAGGACTAAGGATAGTCCAAGGAACCTGTGACATTTAAGTTATGTAATAGAGAAGGAAGTTATGAGATATTTGTTAGGTTTTTTAGGAAACCTGACAAGTTAATAAAATTGTTCTCCAATGTACCTTACATATAATACTGATTTGGGGTAAACAGCTTCTATGAAGAATAGCTTGCCTCTAAATTTATTTCAAAACTTGATATCTTCTACAATATTTGAATACTTGCAAGAAAAAATACCTAAAAATGCATCTTTTCTTAATATGTGAAATGTCATTATCTATGGTAAACATTGAAGGATACGTGTTTCCTTGATTATGACATCTCTTGTGGCTTGGTGGAAAACCATTTGGTAGAAGACATAAATTATCTGACACACAAATTCATCATCTTCTTGTTGAGCTGAAAAGAAACAGAAAACTTCAAATAAAAGAATACTATATTATATACAAAATTGAAAAACATTGAGGGGAAAAATGAAGAATGAGAAAAACTAACGGTGACAAGGAGACAGGTAAAGGACAATTAGTTTATATTATTTATAATATATGGGTGGGGTTGTATCATTTACGCCTTAGGTGTTTTTTCTAAATTACATGATGGTGATCAGTCAAAAAATTTCATAATAATATATTTTCAGAAGTTTTAGTTAATTTGGTTGTGGTCAAACTAAATAGGTTAATTTACTTTGAAATACAAAAATAAAAAATAAGAGTTTAAAGAGAGAAATTATATCAGCTCTGAGTCCAAACCACACTACTTGAGACTGTTCATCTCAAAAGGTTGTATCTAGGAGGAACTGAGAAACAAGACATGTTTAAGGGAATAGTAATGGTGCTTTTCTGTAATTTTTGCTACTTTTTGCCACCATGTATAAAGAAATTGATTAAATTAACTTCTAAGTCCCCAGTGTGGCATGGCAACACTTACCACCACTGTGGGAACTTCTTTTTTATTTTGGTGCCTCATAAAAAAATTCTTCAAATAATTCTAATTTGTAACATAAACCTGGTTTTATTTTGTCTCTATAATGTTGACCTCACATGAGAAAAATGGTTCTTAAAAAATCACGTCTTCTAAGTTTTTGGTAGAAATTAGACTGTTATAAACAGGTTTTTTCTTTGTTGAATAATGTTAACAAAATTAAACTTTACTTATTGGTATGAAGTAATAAAGTAATTTTAGTTCCAATCAATTATACTAGTAAAAAGGAATGTTACATAATCATACAAACTAATTAAGAAATGTTTATTATCATGAAAAGAAGACTTTAACAGAATAGTGGATGACCACTGATTAATACATGTAATGGCAAAAGCAAATACTTATAGAAATCCAATTTTTAGATACTGGTTATGAAATTTGATTTACTAATAGTCTGCTAACAACTCTTGGCAACAGATCAGTGCTATCTGTTAGACAAAGATTTACAGGTCAACAGAGCATCCAACTAGCTGTGTGGAATAAACTGTGGTCCTCTCAAAGTCCAACTGTTCCAAATAATTTTCCTCACTAACTTGCCAAAGTACCAGTCTCTTAGACTACTTGGGTTAAAATTTTATTAATTTCTCTCTTGGTATATAGTGTTCCCCCACTTAACCCCAAGGGTTTTAATCTTGAAAATCCATATATTTCATAAAAACAGTAGTATACAGCCTCTGCCTGTGATAACCACATGTCAGAGAACATCAAAATACAGTAAAACACTGAGCTGGCTCTGTTATTATCTCTCAGTCATAATCAAAATGGACAGCAATTCAAGGACCCAGATTATTTTGTTTCAACTTTCTCCAGCTCACCACAAAATCCTCATTCTCATTCTGCCAACTACATTATCTTTACTTTCACCTTCCAACTACCTGGTCTTTTAATTATTTCTAATCTGAAAACTCCTGGCTGTGTGAAGGGTGCACCAAAACAAATACATATACACTATTTGTAGACATACTTCAAATATGGAGGCACTATCTCTAGGTGACCATTAAAATGCATTATGTAAAAGAATTTACAAATCAAACTTTTAAAGATTTAGAAGAGAAAAATGGGCTAAAGACTTAAATAGGCACTTCACTTTATTAGCCACATCCAATAACAAATAAATAAAAATAGGTACTCAATTTCATTAATTATTAGGGAGATGCAAATTAAAACCACAATGAGATACCACTATGAAGGCTATAATTAAAGAGGCTGTACGCCAAAATATGTTGGTGATGTAGAATAACTGGAACTTTTGTACATTACTGGTGGGACTGAAAATTGGCACAACTACTTTGGAAAACAAAGTAGTTGGCATTATTTCTAAAGCCAAATATATGTGTACTCTGTTCTGCTCCTAAGTATGTGTCTAACAGAAATGAGTAAATATGTTCACTAATTGAAATGCTTCAGAATGCTCATAGGAGCATTACTTATAATAATAGCCCATCAATTACAGGAAAAAACTGTAAAAAACACAAATACATGGAGGCTAAACAGTGCACTACTAAATAACCAAGAGATCACTGAAGAAATCAAAGAAGAAATAAAAAAATACATAGAAACAGTGACAATGAAAACACGACGACCCAAAACCTATGGGATGTAGCAAAAGCAGTTCTAAGATGGAAGTTTACAGCAATTTAATCTCACCTCAAGAAACAAGGAAAATCTCAAATAAACAATCTAACCTTACACCTAAAGCAACTAGAGAAAGAAGAACAAAGAAAACCCAAAGTCAGTAGAAGGAAGGAAATTATAAAGATCAGAGAAGAAATAAATGAAATAGAAATGAAGAAAACAAGACCAAAGATTAATAAAACTATAAGTTGGTTCTTTGAGAAGATAAACAAAATTGATAAACCTTTAGCCAGACTCATCAAGAAAAAAAGAGAGAGGATGCAAATCAGTAAAATTAGAAATGAAAAAGGAGAAATCACAACTGACACCACAGAAATACAAAGGATTATATGAGACTATTACAAACAACTCTATGCCAATAAAATGGACAACCACAAAGAAATGGACAAATTCTTGGAAAGGTACAATTTTCCAGGACTGAACCAGGAAGAATTAGAAAATATAACCAGACTTATCACAAGTAATGAAATTGAAACTATAATTAAAAATCTTCCAACAAACAAAAGTCCAGGACAAGATGGCTTCACAGGCGAATTCTATCAAACATTTAGAGAAGAGCTAACACCAATCCTTCTCAAACTCTTCCAAAAAATTGCAGAGGGAGGAACACTCACAAATTCATTCAACGAAGCCACCACCACCCAGATACCAAAACCAGACAAAGATATCACACAAAAAAAGAAAATTACTATGTTCACTGATGAACATAGATGCAAAAATCCTCAACAAAACACTAGCAAACAGAACCCAACAACACATTAAAAGGTTCATACACCACGATCAAGTGGGATTCATCCCAGGGCTGCAAGGATTCTTCAATATATGCAAATCAATCAATGTGATACACCATATTAACAAATTAAGGAATAAAACCATATGATCATGTCAATAGATGCAGAAAAAGCTTTTGACAAAATTCAACACCCATTTATGATAAATACTCTCCAGAAAAAGGGCACAGAAGGAACCTACCTCAACAAAATAAAGGACATATATGACAAACCCACAGCAAACGTCATACTCAATGGTGAAAAACTGAAACCATTCCCACTAACAAGACAAGGATGTCGACTCTTGCCACTCGTATTCAACATAGTTTTGGAAGTCCTAGCCACGGTAATCAGAGAAGAAAAAGAAATAAAAGGAACACAAATTGGGAAAGAAGTAGTAAAACTGTCACTGTTTGCCGATGACATGATACTATACATAGAAAATCCTCACGATGCCACCAGAAAACTGCTAGAACTAATCAATGAATTTGGTAAGGTTGCAGGATAAAAAATTAATGCACAGAAATCTCTGGCATTCCTGTACACTAACAATGAAAAATCAAGGAATGAGAAATCAAGGAAACAATCCCATTTACCATCACAACAAAAAGAATAAAATGCCTAGGAATAAACCTACTTAAGGAGGCAAAAGACTTGTACTTAGAAAACTATAAAACACTGATGAAAGAAATCAAACATGACATAAACAGATGGAGAAATATACCATGTTCTTGGATGGGAAGAATCAATATTGTGAAAATGACTATACTACCCAAAGCAATCTACAGATTCAAGGCAATCCCTATCAAACTACCAGTGGCATTCTTCACAGAATTAGAACAAAAAATTTGACAATTTGTAAGGAAACACAAAAGACCCCAAATAGCCAGAGCAATCTTGAGAAAGAAAAATGGAGCTGGAGGAATCAGGCTACCTGACTTCAAATTATACTACAAAGCCATAGTAATCAAGACAGTATGGTACTGGCACAAAAACAGAAATATAGATCAAGGTACAGGATAGAGAACCCAGAGAGATAAACCCATGCACATATGGTCACCTAATCTATGACAAAGGAGGCAAGAACATAAAATGGAAAGACAGCCTCTTCAATAAGTGGTGCTGGGAAAACTGGACAACTACATGCAAAAGAATGAATTTAGAACACTACCTAACACTACACACAAAAATAAATTCCAAATGGATTAAAGACCTAAATGTAAGACCAGACACTATAAAACTCTTAGAGGAAAACATAGGAAAAACACTCTTTGACATAAACCACAGCAAGGTGGTTTTTGACTCACTTCCTAGAGTAATGAAAATAAAAACAAAAATAAATATATGGGACCTAATTAACCTTACAAGCTTTTGCACAGCAAAGGAAACCATAAACAAGATGAAAAGACAACCTTCAGAATGGGAGAAAATAGTTGCAGATGAAGCAACGGCAAAGGATTAATCTCCAAAATATAGAAACAGCTCATGGAGCTCAATATCAAAAAAAACAAACAACCCAATTAAAAAATGGGTGAAAGACCTAAACAGACATTTCTCCAAAGAAGACATACAGAAGGCCAAGAGGAACATGAAAAGATGCTCAACATCACTAATTATTAGAAGAATGAAAAGCAAAACTACAATGAGGTATCACCTCACACCAGTCAGAATGTCCATCATCCAAATATCTACAAACAATAAATTCTGGAGAGGGTGCGGAGAAAAGGGAACCGTTTTGCACTCTTGGTGGGAATGTAAATTGATACAGCCACTATGGAGAACAGTATGGAGGTTCCTTAAAAAACTAAAAATACAACTACCATATGACCAGCAATCCCACTACTGGGCATATACCCTGAGAAAACCATAATTCAAAAGGACACATGTACCCCAATGTTCACTGCAACACTGTTTACAATAGCCAGGACATGGAAACAACCTAAGTGTCCACTGACAGATGAATGGATAAAGAAGATGTGACATATATAAAATGGAATATTACTCAGCCATAAAAAGGAATGGAATTGGGTCATTTGTAGAGACGTGGATGGACCTAGAGTCTGTCATACAGAGTGAAGTAAGCCAGAAAGAGAAAAACAAATATCGTATATTAATACGTATATGTGGAAACTAGAAAAATGGTACAGATGAACCTATTTGTAGGGCAGGAATAGAGACATAGACGTAGAGAATGGACATGTGGACGTGGGGGGAAGGGGAGGGTGGGATGAATTGGGTGATTAGGTTTGACATAAATACACTACCATGGGTAAAACAGATAGCTAGTGGGAACCTGCTGTATAGCACAGGGAGCTCAGCCTGGTGCTCTGTGATGACCTAGGTGTGGGGGAAGCAGGGGAGGGAGGTCCAAGAGGGAGGGGATATAGGTATACATAGAGCTGATTCACTTCATTGTACGGCAGAAACTAACACAGCATTGTAAATCAATTTTACTCCAATAAAAAATAAATATATTGATTAGAAAAAAAACAAACAAAAATAACCACCCTACTATCAATAAATAGTAGAAAGGGAAAATAGTGGTATATTTATTTATACAGCAATAAAAAGAAACATAGTTCTGTACAAAACATACACAAACCTCACATTCATAGGGGAAAAGAAACAAGACTCTATTTCTAAAAAGCTGAAAACCAAAGCAGAATTCATCTATGGGTGATAAAAAGAAAAATGGAAACCACTCTGGTGAAGGTGGTAATGACTGGGAGGTGGCAGGAGAGGGACTTCTAGGGTGCTGGTAATGTTTCATTTCCTTATATGAGTGGGAATAACATGAGAGCTCTCATTTTGAAAATTCATTGTGCTATACATACTTACAACTTGTGTATTTTTCATTATGTATTATACCTGGTACAGGAAAGACTGAGATTAGAGGGTCTTTTTAAGCTTTCCATATTAGTATTTTTAACTTCTATACTAATTAGCTACTTTTAATGTATATCTGCTATGGGCAAATTGCATCCCTCCAAAAATTCATATGCTGAAGCCCTAATCCCAAATGTGACTATATTCAGAGATAGGGCCATAAGGAAATAAGTAAGATTAAATGAGGTCATAAGGGTGGAGTCCTGATCCCATAAGATTAGTAACCTTATAAGAAGGGATATCCAAGCACTTGTGTGTGCTCGTGCTTTCTCTCTCTCCCTCTCCCCCACTTCCTCTGCCCGCCTGCCATATGAGGATGTTAGGACACAACAAGAAGGTGGCCTTATGCAACCCAGGAAGAAAGACCTCACCAGGAATCAAATTGGCTGGCACCCTGATAGACTTTCCAGCCTCTAGAACTATGAGAAAATACATTTCTGTTGTTTAAGCCACCAAGTCTGTGGTATTTTGTTATGGTGACCTGAGCAGACTAACACAAGGTCCTAGAGAACTTGGCCCTAATAAAATACTATTAGAGTCAGACAAATTTTGTATGCAATATGGAAAACGAAACCTGGGCCCTTAAGAGAAAAACAAAGGTAAGGGGAAGACTATCTAGGCCTCCGCTATCCAGTATTGTAACCATAGCCATTGTGGCTAGTTAATTTTAATTAAATTTAATTTAAACTCCAGGTTCTCAGTCCCAACAGCCACATTTCAAGTATTCAATAGTCACATGTGTTGGACAGTGCAGACAGAGAACAGTTTCTTCACTGCAGAAAGTTTAGAGGACAATACTATATATGGATCTAGGAGGGAATATGATGATTAGAATTAGCTTCCGAATAAACTTTTCTGATTAGAAATCAAGGTATTAAAAAAAGGGTTTGTGCAAGATAGGAGATCCAATTCAACCAAAACAAAGCTCAACATAAAGAAGAAATGGTGGAATATTAGTTGTTCAAGGCTGATAAGAGGAGGGTAGTGTCTGTAAAATTGGTCCTGAATCATTTTATAGCAACATTCTTAACTTTGCAACCTAAAGCTATTTGATACTATGCTATCTAATCCCAGTAAAGGTATATTTAATTCATTTTCCTAACTATATAATTTAAGTTGCTATAAGATGAGTAATGCAACAATATAAATATTTCATGATTGCAGATTCCACATTTAAAAATCTAAACTTATAACTTGTTTATACATTAGCACAAAAATAAATTAAGATAAATTATAATTTACCATTTAGCAACTCAATAAGTGCAGGGATTATCCCAGATTTGGCTAGCAATGCAGCACAAGAGTCATCCATAGATACAGTTCCAATCATTATAACCACTTCTAAAACAAGGTCATCTTCCGCAGCACCTAGTAAAGTCAAATCACAGAAAGTTTTCATTGAAATGTCCTGATACAAATCCTTTTATATTGCCAAAATTCTAATTCACAGAAAAGATACTAAAAGCTATTAAATCAGTTCTTATGAATCCTTAACACGCTTATAAACGTGTCCTTTTTCCAAAGTTCCATGTTCATGGAATTCCATTCCATGATGACAGTTCGTGGTGGTGAAGCAGTAGAGAGGTGGAGATAAGTCTTTGAAAATACAAATGAATGACAATGTAAACACAGAAAATAGAAGAGTCATTTGAATCCCTCAGAGAACTTAGTGTGTGCATGTGAACTCGTGTAGAGCGGGATGGTATTTAGTAATTTTAAAAAGGCAGGATAAAAAAAATAAGAAGGCAGGATAGGAAAAGGAAACTAATATTAAAAAAACATATTGTTAGGGAAGAGAGTACATACATATACGTGGAGAACTAGTGACTGCCTTTCTGAGAGAAAGAAACGAACTAGGGCTAGACCTAGAGGTGTGGGAAGAAAATGTGTTACATAGTACAATAATGGTCACAAAATACTGTTCTAGCTGCCTTATCCACAACAGAAAGAAATAACTTGATTATGCAGAAGTGAAATACTTAGCACAGACCTGGTTTGAGTTTATCCTTGAGGTACGGAACCAGCTTATACTCCTTAAGAACCAATTCCCAGTCTAAGTCTGGAATGGTCAAATTTGCAAGAGTTCCTAAACATTCAATCACAAACTCCTCCTCTTCATCATTAGAGATTTGAGCTGCAAGGTCCCCAACATAATCCTGAATAAAACAGAATTTTAATACAAATTTAAAATATGATTTCTGCAGAAGAACTAATCTAATAATTTAACCCATAGGAAGAAAAAGTATCAAATGTGATTCTCTTGTTTTAATAACCGTGAGCTAAATTGCTAAGAGAGACTATGGTGGACTGGTTTAAGGCAAGCAAACTGGAGTGAGGATGAAAAGGTTAGGGATAGGGCTCGTAAAACAAAAACAACATTAAAACTTAGGTTGAGATTTCTAGGAGCTAAACTTACAAGTAAGTTGAAGAAAAACCAACTTGGGTCATGAATTAATATTTGACAAGAGCTAAGGAAGAGTTATATTTCCAGACACAGCACTTTAAAGCTTTAATTCTCAGGCTATTTTAATAGACAGAAAGCTAAAAACTATACTTACAATAAATAAATTTTTAGTTGGTCCATCATGCTGGGAAATGTTCCTAATCATTTTCATCAGCAATGGATCCTTGAACTTCAGAGCCCTCTTCATGAGCATCTTCAGCCCATTTCCTGATAATAAAAACAAAAAAATTCCCCCAAAAAGGTTCATTTAAATTTAATGATTTTTAAAATTTTCGGTTCTCAAAAAACCCCAATTTACACACAGAAAATACGTAAATATTAAGTGTACAATTAAATTTAATAAATGTATGCCCCTGTGTAATTCGTACCCATATCAGGATACAGAATATTTCCATTCAATGCAGAAAGTTCCCTTGCTCTTAGTCAATCTTAGTCCCCCAATACAATTACTTTTCTTCTTTTCTCCTCCTTTTCCTCTTCTTCCTCTTCCCCTTTTTCTTATTTTTTCTTTTTAAATACAGATTAGTTTTGCCTCTTCTAGAATTTCACATAAATGGAAGCACAGTATGTATATGAAATATGTACCACAAAGTTTTAAAATGTAAATACTTTTTGACCCATAAAAATTGTACTTCTAGGAATTTATCCTAAGAATGTAAAAATGGAAACATGAAAGATTCAGAGAAAGGAAAATTACTGTAGCATTGCTTGTAACAGAAAAGAAGTGGCAACAAACTAGCAGATTAAACTATGGAAAATCCTTTAGTGGATTATTTTGCAGCTACTGGCAATTATGTTTTATTAAAGTATTTAATCATATGGAACGATATTCAGATATTAACTTCAAAAAACATGTCACCATTTACAGAGAAAATCCCATTTTAATTTAAAAATACACAGAAGCATTGTACCAAAGTCTTACCTATGATTATCTCTGGATAGTGGCAGTAAAATTTTTAATTTTTTCCTATTTGCTCATTTGTACTTTTTATAATGAACATGTATACTTCTCAAATACGAAAAAACTATTGAGCAAACTCTGAAATATCATAATGTATGATGAATCATTTTATGAAGATACTATAGAAACAAATAGCTAATACATTTGTATTGCAACATCTTACACTGTAACAGATTGCTTTGCAAATAAAAAGTTTTATTTCATCTAGAAAATATTTTTAAAAATCAGATTTCAATTAAGGGTAACTGACCAAATGGTTTATAAAATGTTACTAAAGGGTAAGCGTTTCTACTCATGATGTAAGAATATTCTGAGTCTGACATTTAAGGATTATAGCTATAATTTTTAAAACTACTTAAAAATAGGATTTACATATTTACTATAATTCTTAATTCCTTATTATCTATTTTCCATCATATGCCAATAGCATATGATAGAAGTTATCTATGAAGCTCAAAGGCACTAACCTTCACAGATAAGCTGTACGTTCCTTTTGTTAGCAGCTAGATTAATGCAGAAAGAAATGAGTTCCAAGTCAATTCGTTCATCCGAACATTCAAAGAGCATCTTCATTAACTAGCAGGAAGCACAGGACATATTTTACTCAAAAAACCCCCAAACACACAAAAAACCACAGGCACTATTTTATCACAGTATGTTACCTTAGATTGTATGTTGGAAATAATATAATACAATTACATTTTCAACATAGAAGTGGTAGGCTTTTACTACTGAATAACTGAATGCTTAATGAACTATTAGATGCTCAGTACTCAATATGAACTTCCAAGTACACTGGAGAATATAAGAGAAATATTACATAAAGCCTTTGCATTTAAGGAATTTAAAATGTTGTGTGGAAGCAGACCATTCTGAGCAATGAAAATAGCTTGTGCAAAGGTTACAAGGCAGGAAAAAAAGTCATTCTTCTGAAGAATTAAGAGAAGGCAAGCATGGTTGGAGTGAGGGAAATAGTGTTAAGAGATAAGGTAAAAGTCAGATCACGCAGGGTTCTGAAGAACACGTTAAGGATTTTGGGCTTCATCCTAAGGTAAATGGGAAGACATTAAAGGCTTCCAAATAAGGAAAGTGTCAGGATAAGATTTACATTTCGAAAAAATCTGGTCAATGTAGAAAATAGACTGAAATAGGGTAAGAAAATGTGGCAAAACCATCTAAGGGGCTAGTGGAAAAGTCGAGGTATGATGATGGCTGCCTCGACTAGGTAGAGCAGTGGGGATAGAGACAAAAAGGATGGCTCAGAGATATATTTAGGAAAGAGAATCAAACTGGGATTTAATAACTGACTAGATGTTGGGGTTAAGGGAGAGGAAGGGTCAAAGATGACTCACAGGTTTCTGCCCTAAACAACAACATGGATGGTGGTGCTAACATTTACCAAAAGACAGAAACCAAAGTAGGAGAAAACTTTAAAGGGAAGACAGTAATTTTGGTTTTGGACATGCTGAATTTAAGCTGCCTATGTGACAGTCTAGTGCAGATAGTCAGTAAAAGTTATAAACACAAGTTTAGGAGACATGATTGGACTGAAGGTATAATTTTAGGAATTGCCATTTATGGTTGATAACTGAACCTGTAAAGCTGGACCCAATCATTTGGGAGTGTGTATAAAGTAAGAAACGAACTCTACTTAACGATAAGAGAAAGGGAAGGAACTTCCCTGGTGGCGCAGTGGTTAAGAATCCATCTGCCAATGCAGGGGACACGGGTTCCAGCCCTGGTCCGGGAAGATCCCACATGCCGTGGAGCAACTAAGCCCGTGCGCCACAACTACTGAGCCTGCGCTCTAGAGCCCACAAGCCACAACTACTGAGCCCGTGCACCACAACTACGGAAGCCCACGTGCCTAGAGCCCCTGTTCCGCAACAAGAGAAGCCACTGCAATGAGAAGCCCACACACTGCAACAAAGAGTAGTCCCCGCTCGCTGCAACTAGAGAAAGCCTGTGTGCAGCAACAAAGACCCAACCCAGACAAAAGTCAATCAATCAATCAATTAATCAATTAATTTAAAAAAAAGAGAGAGAGAAAGGGAAGATGGGTCTGAGAAGCAGCAGACAGAAAAGTAGGAAGAAAAAGGCAGGCCACTTATGCCATTTAGCAGTAATCTAGATTTGTCATGATGAGAGATAGTTGCTATGTAATAAAGGAGAAATGAACAAACCTTAAGCTATACTTTTGAGAAGCTTGTCTACTATTATTGGTAAATAGCAAATTAACTTAGTGCATATTATATAAATATATTTTTCTCTTAGTCAAATTGCTAACAACATATGGAAATCAATCCTAAAATTTATAACCTAAAACTTTCTTATGTTTTATCTCGGCCGGATACCTTTTTAGATCAACATGCCTTTGTTGACTGGTTAGACCCTATTTTGTTAAATCTTGTTTTGGTTATTCTCTATGTTAGTTCCAAATAACTTCTAAGTTTCAAAAAGGCTACATGGTGAACACACAAAAATTAATCTTATTTCTGTATGCTAGCAATGAACAACTGGAAACCAAAATTTAAAAAGCAAATCCACTCACAATTGCTCCCCAAAATACTTAAGATATAATTCTAACAAAACTATATGTATATATATAAAATTCACTATTTGCTGAGAACTACAAAAACACTGTAGCTGGTGAATGGTTGGCATGTATCATGCCTTTTCCCAGATAGCACTTCTTTAACACCCATGTTGCTGCTAGTGGAATCTTTAATCACTAACACTTAATAATGTTGTAGAACAAAAAAATTATATGGCAAAGATAAAATAATCTTAATTTATTGGATATACTTTTAACAGATTTTGCTACCTATTAACTGCCAACTAAAATTAAATTACAAATTAATAAAAACGTAGGTGACAATCCTCTAAAAATGTAAATATATACAGTATGTTTTTCACATTCTAATCAAAAACCCATTATAGATTTCTTCCAAACTTCTAATACAAGAAGCTTTTTAAAAATAACAAAAGTGTGTTTGTTACATCAATGCAATTCTTAGCAAGGCAAAATATCCGTTGCTGTTTACTTGAAATTAACCTTGTGGTATGAAATTTGCCCTTAAGAATGGTGTTACAGGGTGATTTGTTAGAAGCTGAGGGTTTTTGCCTTGTTTTTGTAATTTCCACATTAAGTCCTGTGATGAAATATTCAGGAGCTAGCTTTTTAAAAAATAATGCATGGTTTAAAACCTTATCCAACACCTACATCCCCAAATCAAGAGAAATCAGGACTAAGTGTGAATGAAATACATCATGATATAGAGTTAGTTTTTCCTAATAAGAGAAACATTTCAATTTTAAAGTGTTCACATTTTAAAATAATAGTTTAGTTCAAGCTCTACATGCAACACTGTCTTTGACTGCTACCCATAGCACTTCAGAAGTAAGTGTAATTGCTGACAACTAGGAAATACTAAAACTAGATTTGTTCTGTTTTAACTATGTCCATTGTCATCTTTTACTAATTTAACAGGAAGGCACTAAAAGGCTTCAGCCTGTGCAATGAAGAGGCAATAGTGTTCAATCAGACAAGTCCCATATTGAGTATCAGATACCAAAGACCCAGGACTGAAATCACTGTGTCTAGACTCTCTGGCACCTGACTTCACTTATTTACCAGTGACCAGAGACCAACCCCTACAGCTCTCTGTATTCACATACACCTCTGCCACCCCCACCCCCCTACCCAAACATCTTTGAATGATTATGGCAGAACTTTGCATGCCTCAGGAATCTCTTCTGACTGGCTACTCCCTAACTCTGCTGTTTGAAGTGATGCTCTGGTTTCTGAACTTCAGCAGATAATGGCAGGCAGGAGCAAAGGGGACTGTCAGAAAGGACGTTTACCAGCATTCAGCTCAAAAGAAGCGTGTAGATCAAAGAGGGGCCAAATAGGACAACTGTGGTAGAAAACATGTGGATTACTATGAAGATTCTTGCGCACTGTTCTAGGTAAAATGTTAAATAACACCATGACATCATTACCTAAACATGTACTTTGGCCATTCTATTACCAATAAATACTTTCATAAGCATCTGGATGGCATTTGCACCTATTTAAACAAAACATGCATCTTAGAGGTCTAAATAACAATGAACTGTTAATGTGTACTCTTAACTATTATTAGAATACAACCATTAACTCCTGGTTATCCCCAAGTACGCTTACCTGGAACAATTCACCCACTGAGACCATTAAGATCATACATAAAGACAGACTTGCCCTGACCCCCAAGTTTTACAAAATAGTGTCATAATAGAGGGAAAAAATGAGAATATATTGGATAATTAGAGGCAATAAAGTACAAAAGAAGCAAAGCAACATAATATTGGGAGAGATTATGAGCCACGTTGACTTTATAACATCTACTCTGAATGTTAAATATTTTACAAAAGTGAGCTCTAATTATAGGCTTATGTTAGAGCATCTCACAGTCTATTTCCACCAAAGCCCAGCTCTTTAAGAATAAGAAATCAATAGAATCATTTTTCCCCCAAAAGACCATGATCATGCACTAGACACAACCTCTTAAGGTTAATCTAATTTATGAAATGCTATTCCATGAGCCCAATGTTAACACATTGTTTATTTGGACTAATAAAATTCTGATGAAATTTTAAAAAGTATAGGTTTATCCTATAAAACAGATAGAAGAAAGGGAGTATTTAAACTGGACTCTGAGTGGTTCCAAAATAATGAGAAGCATTTACAAATGGCAGCTTATTTTTGTACAGTGTTTCACAGTTTATAAAGTTCCTTTACATATGTATCTAATGGAATTAAAGAATATGACCGTATCCCACATTTTTTTTGATCACTGAAATGAATATGAATGACAATGGAACCACTGCTTTCTTACTTTCAAAGTTACTTTAGGCTTCTCATTTTAAAAATTCATTTGTAATACTTGACAATATTTACTAAACAAAAATTAATGTGCATACTTTCAAAGTGAACAGAGTATTACATTAATATTCCAAACTTCAGATATAGTTTTATTTAACAAGTTCGGAAATTTCAATGTAATCCCAAATTTGCTTTCCATGATTCTTTTATTTTACAATGTATTTTTACAATTGGTACTGGGTGGCAATCAAACCATGTCAACTTTTCCCCAAATATGCCAAAGTTGAGCCTTACAAAGTACAAGTTATAGGCTGGATAGCACTTTAGGAACAAACATACTATTCTAGAGTACCATTTGGTTTCTCAAAATATGGCCTCATACTAAAAAGTTTCAGTATGTTTACAACATAATTTGATAACATACCCTCACTATTCTTACCAGGGTTGAGCTTTAAAAACAAAATATAATAAACTAAAACCCCAAAACATTGACCACTGAATGAATTTTAAAAGATTTTGTTCATGAAATACAGACCATAAATGTTCTGAAAACCCCACTGCAGAAATGTTTGATGTTAGAAAATTATCTGGCAAGGAAACATGCATGAATGTTGTCCTTGAAAAGGTACGGGAGAATTTTCTACAAAGTCTTCAACTGCAATAATAATAATGTTTCAAAAGTAACTTAAACAGGCTTCTATTTCTGATTATTTATTGAAAACAAAGTTTCACATTTTATGTTTGAGATTGTAAATTCTAGGGTATAGAGGGAAGGGTAACTCCAAATTAAATATTTAACAAAAAAAGTTTCCCATCTCTTTTTAGTGTACATTTATTTCTCTTTTATTTAATGTTATTCTCTTTAAAATCTAATCTAGATAAAAACAGTCAATCTAGACAAAAATATTATTCTTTTATCACTGCTTTCCAATTCATATCCTGTAGTCAATGAAGTTCTGACATTAAATGGGATTGGAAAAGGAACACCCTTTGAAACTGTGAAGCAAAACCCCTTGGAACATATGAAGTGAGACTGTAGTAAATCACCTGTAATCTCCCTTTGACATGGCTACTCTTTTATTGACAACTTGTTTGACAAAGAGTTTGATTACACTTTGTATCGGCTGTAGTCTGACATGTGTTATCTCTATAAGAAGCCTTGCCTTGTTAGATAAAATATGCTGCATATTTGTAGGATGTCTACTTTCTGTAAACAAGCATAATTAGTTTATCCCCTGGTATAAAAGCCTAAGAAATTATCCTTGAGAGTTTATCAGTTTTTTAATTGCATGTAGATAAAGTATTAAAATTCTGGAACAGCAAATTCAATTTTTAGAACCGTGTTATTAATTTGGGATGAATAGAAGGATTAATAAGAATTAATAAAAAGAAAAACTATGGCCTGTTTTTTACTACATAATAATTATTACTACTATTATTAGTAATAATTAATTATAGTAGTAATAAATATTAATTAGTAATAAATATTAATTAATAAATATTAGTAATACATATTAATTAATACATATTATTGCTATTAATCCCAAAATAATATACATTTAATAACTTATATTAGGCTAATAAGGAATTATGTAGTAGGAGTCTTAAGAGGATTACTTTAATAAGTATGACTTACTATACATATTCTTCTAAAGTGTCTTTTAAAAGTGTTATTTTTATTGTATATTATACATCCTGTGATTTTGCTTTTTCTATTTTAGAAAGCCGTATTATAAAAATAATATTAAAAATCAGCCTAACTAGTGTTCCAATCATCAGATATTATTCAAATTAGTAGAGCTCAGTTTAATGAAGATTAATGGCACAATAGTGATTCCATGAATGTAAATTCCCTAAAAGTAAAATTACACATCTATATCCCTGGTGGCGCAGTGGTTGAGAGTCTGCCTGCCGATGCAGGGGACACGGGTTTGTGCTCCGGCCCGGGAGGATCCCACATGCCGCGGAGCGGCTGGGCCCGTGAGCCATGGCCACTGAGCCTGCGCGTCTGGAGCCTGTGCTCCGCAACGGGAGAGGCCACAACAGTGAGAGGCCCGCGTACCGCAAAAAAAAAAAAAAATTACACATGTATAGAATCTCCACCATTATAGTCTATGAAAAAAAATCACTAAACTCCTTCAAGACAAATAAACCGAACATATGAAATATATCAAGCAACTGAGTTATAGCAAAAATCTTTCTTGAGAGCAGTGCTATAAAAATAAAAGTTTTTTTTTTTTTTTTTTTTGTGGTACGCGGGCCTCTCACCGTTGTGGCCTCTCCCATTGTGGAGCACAGGCTCCAGACGCGCAGGCCCAGCGGCCATGGCTCACGGGCCTAGCCGCTCCGCGGCATGTGGGATCCTCCCGGTCCAGGGCACGAACCCGTGTTCCCTGCATCGGCAGGCGGACTCTCAACCACTGCGCCACCAGGGAAGCCCAAATAAAAGTATTTGATGAAGCATTTTCCCATCAGAGAACGCAAAGCAATTAAAACCGTCAACCACAAACAAAATTAAAGGGCAAATGACAAAGTTGGGAAATGTCTGTAATATGACCAGGAGTTAAAATAGTTACTACATATAGAGATATTATTTATTAATCCTAAAATATTGACATGCCAATGGAAAAATTATCAAGGGACATGAATGATTTATAACATAATATCAACAATAAGCATGTGAAAAATGTTCAACCTCACCAATAGCCACAGAAATGCAAATAAAAAGAAATAGAGACACTCCATTTTTAGAGACATGATAGCATGCAGTGCTGTTCAAAGTGAAGTGACAGTTGGAAAAAAAATCAACTCATGTCTTCTTAGAAGGTAATTTGGCCATATTGTGTCAAATACACAAAATACCTTTTGACCTAGTAATTCTACTTTTAGGAATTTAAACTAAAGAAAAAATCAAGATGTGGTTAAGCTTTTACATACTATGATATTTATTCCACATTATTTCATTTGTTTACATACTTTTACTTACATCAGTTTTTATGTGATAAACTGGAAAAAAACCTATACAATTTAACAATATTTAAATTATGGTACACTTATGCAATAAAATAGTATACAACTATTATGAATAATTTATGAAGAATGTTCAGTGACATGGGAGGGTACTTAATGATATATTAAGTTAAAAAAGCAATATATAATTACATATGGCATATAATCCCAAAACAGTATTTTTTTAACTATGTAGAAGAAAATGTACCAAAATTTTAAATGGTTATCTCTGGGTTTGGGATAACAGAAAGTTACTTTCATTTTTATAATGTTCTGTACTTTCTAGATTGTATATAACAAATTTATATTATTTTTAAGAGGGGACTTTTAAAGAAAAAAACCTATCTGGCAAATCAAGGGAAGAAAGTAAAAAACATATTTTTGAATGCCTTTTTAAAAAAACACTTAAAGCACTTACTTGTGGTATACAGTCAGTGTATGCAAACATTGATTTAAAGCGGTCATCCATGCTTATGTGGTAAAGAATACACATTGCTATTTGTTTGTAGTTTTCATTGCCTGGAAATAAGAAATCATGGATATGGTGAGATTTTATATTATGCCATGCATGGGAATGACCACAAAGAAATTAATTTTTTTTGTATAACACACTCAAATTAATGCATTACAACTTTTACGCTACTGAATCAAAAAAAATCACTAACCCTAATTTAGAAATTTTTTTTTTTTTTTTTTTTTTGGTATACAGGCCTCTCACTGTTTTGGCCTCTCCTGTTTCAGAGCACAGGCTCCGGACGTGCAGGCTCAGCGGCCATGGCTCACGGGCCCAGCCGCTTCACGGCATGTGGGATCTTCCCGGACCAGGGCACGAACCCGTGTCCCCTGCATCAGCAGGCGGACTCTTAACCACTGCGCCACCAGGGAAGCCCTAGAAAATATTTTGAGCTCCCTATTTCAATTCCAAAGTTTGGAGCACACTATCTATGAAATATCACTAAGTTCCAAGAGATTATGTGTATTTTACAAGGTATATTTTTGAAAAAATTAACCACAAACCTAAGAATTAATTGTTCCCAGTAGCCCACTAAAATGTAGATTTGGCCACTGGCCTCCCCATCCTCACTGTTTTATCAAAATATGTGATAAACACATTTCACTGACAGTGATAATGTATAAGGAATAGTAAACGAAAAGTATATTTAATTTTTATGAATCAGAAACTGGAAAAATAACAAATAATAAATGAAGTAGAATAGTATTTGCTACATTAAAAAAAAATACATGCCCAAAAGAAGACATACAGATTGCCAAAAAACACATGAAAAGACGCTCAACATCACTAATCATTAGAGAAATGTAAATCAAAACCACAATGAGGTATCACCTCACACCAGTCAGAATGGCCTGGCCATCATCAAAAACATCTACAAACAATAAATGCTGGAGAGGGTGTGGAGAAAAGAGAACCCTCCTGCACTGTTGGTGGGAATGTAAATTGATACAACCACTATGGAAAACAATAACGGAGGTTCCTTAAAAAACTAAAAATAGAACTACCATATGACACAGCAATCTCACTACTGGGCATATACCCTGAGAAAACCATAATTCAAAAAGATACATGTACCACAATGTTCACTGCAGCACTATTTACAATAGCCAGGACGTGGAAGCAACCTAAGTGTCCATCAACAGATGAATGGATAAAGAAGATGTGGCACATATATACAATGGAATATTACTCAGCTATAAAAAAATAACGAAATTGAGTTATTTGTAATGAGGTGGATGGACCTAGAGTCTGTCATACAGAGTGAAGTAAGTCACAAAGAGAAAAACAAATACCGTATGCTAAAGCATATATATGGAATCTAAAAAAACGGTACTGATGAACCTAGTGGCAGGGCAGGAATAAAGACGCAGACATAGAGTACAGACTTGAGGACACAGGGGCAGGAAGGGGAAGCTGGGGCGAAGTGAGAGAGTGGCATGGACATATATACACTACCAAATGTAAAATAGATAGCTAGTGGGAAGCTGCTCCATAGCACAGGGAGATCAGCTCAGTGCTTTGTGATGACCTAGAGAGGTGGGATAGGGAGGGTGGGAGGGAGGTTCAAGAGGGAGGGGATATGGGGGTATATGTATACATATAGCTGATTCACTTTGTTGTACAGCAGAAACTAACACAACATTGTAAAGCAATTATACTCCAATAAAGATGGAAAAAAAATACATGACTATAAAATGCTAAAGGGTAGAGATAGTAAGCATAGTCTAAGGATTGTCTCAGAACTTCTGAGGTAAGATTATTCTAGTTTCGTACACCTTGAAACTGAAAAAAGAAAAGTGAATGATATATCATAGATTTGAAAAATAAAATGGGACTTTAATATGTCATGTAGTTCTTCTACATGCTTTCAGAAAGACCATATTTTAAGGATCTATTTATGATCTCAAAGTCAGTGACAAAACTTGAGCTAGAAAAGTTTGGCTGAAAGGTTTTATCCAAAGAACAATATTATTTTTAAAAAGTTTGGCTATGAGAAATCCTTGGAGATATTTGGAGTTTTAAAACAAAATCAAGGATATACATAAATTTAGTTGATAAATAACATATCAAGAAAATTTTAAATATATTGTGACATGGAGGATAAATTCAGCACCTTTATTCTTGTGTCTACCATAGTATAAAATTACTAAAATACTTTGTGTTTTTTAAAAATACTATTTTATATTCTTATTGAATTTTTCAGATATTAGGTTATCTCTTTATGAGGTGGTGAGAAATTCTTACGGGACATACCTTGGTATTCTTATAGGCTTAGTATAGCATATGGAAGTTTCTCAATAAATACCTGCTGATTGATTCTATTTTTAATATCTAAAAAGCCTGGTGACTATAGTTAACATACTGTATGTACATTTGAAAGTTGCTAAGAGAGTAAATCTTAAAAGTTCTTACAACCAGAAAAAAAGTAATTATGTGAGTTGATGGATGTGGTAACTAATCTTAAAGTGGTAACTTTTATAGTTAACTACCCTTATATCTAACCTTATATATTTTGCAATATATATATATATCAAGTCATCACCTTAAACTTACATACTGTTATATGTCAGTTAGATCTCAATAAAGCTGGAAAAAAAACAATGTTATGTTTAAAAAATCAGAGGCTAAAACTGAAAAAATAAGCACGCTTAGTCAAAGACAGAAATTACTAGTTCTACAAGATTTTCAGATTTGACACAAAAGTGTTTTAAGTTTCCAGATGTTTTTTAAAAACATATAGTGACCCTCTCTCTAGCCTGTTGCTTTCCTGGAGCTTATATGTTAAAGAAAAATATTTCATATGGTAAGGAAGAACAATGTGAGTCTTCAAAATAATCTGTCAAATAAATTTTATCATCCTTATGTTTCAGATGAGGAACTTAACACTTGGAGAAAAATAAATACTTCCTACACAGCCTTGTAAGTGGGTGAGGAGGAACACAGGTTTCTCTGACTCCAGAATTTTCACCAGAGGTGTATTACAGTATCTCTCAAACATTTTTATATCATAAGGTAAAATGGTCTTTCAAGTAAGATGATAGTATCAGGTAAAAAAGACTGAGATATACTGACATATGATAGAATAAAACACATTTTAAAAACAGAATTTTTAAAAATCAAGACTTTTGCATCTTTTTAAATTGTTTGGCTAAAGCCTATTTCCTATGGCTTTCAGTATCAATGTAAAAATGACTTCTTGGCATAAAACAAAAACAATAAAATCTAGCATATGTTCGTCAGATGAATACATACTAGTAAACATTTTCATCTTAACTAAAAATCTATGAATTCACTAACTTAACCACTTGGAATACAACATATGCAGGAAATATATCTGGAGGAAAATGTAATGCAAAAACTGAAATTACTCCAAAAAAGAGAAAAGTGGAGACTAACTGCGTGTTCCCAACCCCAGTATTTTGCTCTTGGGATCAGAGCAATCTAAATAGAAAAGACTCATAGATTTTAATAAATCACATTTTTACACCGCTGAAGGCATTCATTTATACTTATTCTAGTATAAAACACACTTGCCATAGGAAAACAGATCTTTGCATCAGTTTGCATGATACATAGATTAAAAATGAAAAATTCCAATTTTATTCTCCAGAGAGGAAAGTATCCCTTAGGGGTTTGGTCAGATTATACTTCACAGTATTTTCCTCCAGGGACTGAGGTACTTTAATATCTTTTCAAGTAAGTTCCTACAGCAAACTCATATTCCGAAGGCACAGTCTCTTTCCCTGCTATTACAGTTTCTTTCTATATGTTGTTCAGCTGTGGGTAGGTTCTAGTCTTACTTAATTTTTTCAAAACATTATTTGAAAATATTTTCTCTATGTAATGGATTCACTGAAAAGTAGGATTCCAAGTCACACAACTTACTAAATAAATGGTAGAAGAAACATAGAAATCTATATCCAATATAAAAGATTTTTTAACATCAAAGTAAATAATCAGACTTTAAAATTCAGTGTGGAACTAAGAATGAAAAAGGACACTATTCTATGTTTGAGTATTGTCTGTCTACTGCTGGTTATCAATGAAAGGATTCTAAAATGCAATGTTCTAAAGTGGTACATCAATTCATGTAAGGTGAGAGGAAAGAAAGATTCACCTTTAAGAGATCTGTACCCCATACAGAGAATAACAAGGAAGGTTCTTCTAGAGCAAATTACATACACATATATATATGATTATATATCTATATCACTTCCAAAGGATAACTCAGGATAAAGGATATGTGACAGAATAGAAAGTCTAGAGAAAAGTCCTAAAATTACAATAATTTTTAAAACGTAGATGAATAACATATGCAAGAAACATCTCAAATTCAACAATAATTTATATTACTTTCTTTTTCCACAGCAAAACTAAATATCTAGTTTCAAAAAGTAGGATGAGTCATTCTACTGCCAGTTCTAATTCTGCTCTTGTGTGCTTTCTCTTTCTCCTTCTCTCCCCATACTCATGGCCAAAAGTGAAAGATCCTTGCAGTACTCCCGTACCTTCCTAATTCTTTATCTGTGATCTTCTATTTAAAAACCTATGTAACGCAACTAAACTCCAATAAATATTAATTTTAAAAAAGGTGGGAGGCTGGGGGGACGGGCAGGAAGTATATGGGAAATTAATGTCCTTTCTGCTCAATTTTGCTATGAACCTTAAATTGCTCTAGAAAATAAAGCTTGATTTAAAAAAAAAAGTCTCTGAACATATGCCTAATTTCCCATAATCTTTACCTAAAATGATTATCATGCCCCCAAAATGTGCTAAAACTAAAGGACTGAAGAAAACAGAAACTCAAGGATTACAAGGCTATCCCAAAAGATTCGTGGATAGCCAGTCTTTTTATAACTACAATTCTTTGAGAGAAGGGAAGAGAGAAAGAGTTAAGCAAACTGATAGCTCCTCTTGTATGTTAAGCATGTATTTTCTCATTTAACCCTTATAACAACTGAAGAGGTAGGTATTATCTTTGATCTGGATGTGAGGCAATGACATT